GGTCTAAGCATTTGGAGTTATGATTGTTGAGGTGTTTCTAGGTGTTGATATCTGGTCTTGTCTTTGCTGGGCGGGTGTTGCATTCTTTGGTGGCAACTGTCCTCTCTGGATTGTTGACAAAGTGTGGTGGCTCTGGGGTCCCCAGTAAAGAGTACTTTGTTTGTTTGTTAAACAAAATTGTATAATCTGCTTGCCTATGTGGGGATTAAAGGTGTGCATCACCATGCCTGGCTTTCTAAGAGGAAGAAGTGAAACCCAGGGTGAAGGTCATGGCCAATTGAACTAGCATGCAAGTCCCATCCCAATCAAGTGGTCAGCTTAGGTACAGGTCCCTCTGTTCACAGCATCCTGATATGTCAGTCTGGGAGACATCAAGGGCAGAGTCGTCGCTCTTTGTCTCTGTTGTTTAGATGTTCAGGATGCAGGTACAGACTCCAAGATCCTCCACTGGGCCACGGAATTCATCCTCCTGCCATGTGAGAGAAGAGGAGCAATTTATCTTTCCTATAGATAAGGAGGAGACTTTCCTGGTCAGGCCCACAAAGCCAGAGACAGGAGCAGCAGACTTCTGGCAGCTCTTAGTTTCCCTGCATCCTTACCCTGCAAAGAGGCTAGCATGCCGTTTTCTTGGTAGGATCTGATCCTGCCCAAGGGAAAGTGTGCGTTACTTGAGCTGGGGGTGTCCTGCCATGCGAGTGTGTGGTACGCTTTACCCATTTTATTCAAGCATTCAAAAAGTTTTTATAACTATTTAAAAATATCCTTGATTTTGAATATTACTATACGTTAAAAATCTTTAAGGTTACTTTAAATTTGTTTTGAGGTAGTTGCTTTAGGTTTAACTTTGACAACACACACAGAAAACTATATAATGGGAGATGTAAATTGGTCTCTCCCTCCAACCTTGTAAATGAATTATATTTTTACTTAGCATGACTACAAACGTAGTTCTGAGCACATTAAAGAATTTGATCATTTATAAGGTGACTGATCATTAACCTTTATATCTTAATTATCTTTAACAGTTTACAATAAATTAGTAAGATTAGGATTTTATAATTTTATCCCTTTTAAGAATTTGAGCCTTAAAAATTACATTTTGAATTGAAGCCCTGTTAGTATCAAAATAAACTTTTAAACTATAGATACAGTCCATATTGAGACTGGGAACCTCATTTTCCTGATACTTTTTTTTTTTTTTTTTTTTTTTT